TTATGAATACAAAATTAAAGCCCACATCTTGACTTAGTGGGGATGCTTACAGCATCCTATGATTGCAGGTGTTCATACAGAATTTGATAACAGGAAAACAAATCAGCATTGTAAAAACCCCAGTTTTCACATGAAAGAAAATGTAGGACTGGTACAGATTTTCCCCCCTATTTTAATTCATTTATTAATACTTAAAATATTTCTAGGCCACTTTCAGAACAACCCTCTTAGATGTTTGGAACAATAAAATCTCATTAAAGCCTATGCAGTGATAAAACAGCAAAAATGCATATGAATACTAGCAATAAGACAGCTTGTCTAGAGAATACTAAAATCAACAACACAACTGCCACTACTGACTAGAAAAGTCAAATAAAACCTAATCAGAGGAAGACCAGAAAGAACAAACAAGTCTTCAAAAAGTTCACAGTGACAGATCCTGATGGGTCCCCCAAAGCAACCCATTCCAGAGGCATGGGCCCCCTGTGGAAAGTCCCTAACTTATATTCTTTGTGTTATGGTTAACTTTATGATTAATCAAACATAACCTCAATCAGTAACATAATGAACTGACGCAATACTAGTAAGTTCTAAAGTTCTAAAGTTCTAAAATAACTTTATCCAAATGGCCGTACCTCTAAGACACACATAAATATACACTGCATGTACATATTGTCTATTTTTATTTTTCTTAAATGCCAGTGGGGCAGTACAAACACAGGGGTAAATTAAAACCAAAAGTATGCATAACTCAAACATGCTAAATCAGATTTCAATTGCTTAGAGCACTGAACAGTTTTCCAGAAAAACTCCCACAGAATGTTTCAATTCCATATTTTCTAGAAAACTCACATTACTTTATAGGGTGCCATTACAGCACAATATTGAAGCAGTGAAGATGCAAGACTGTCCATTCACTTAACTATCTTGTCTATAAGGGTTTAGGATGCCCATGCAAAGCAGGTTGGTATGAAGCATCCATACAGGGCATCAGACTGAGAGCTTCTCTTGCTGAAGACCAGCTGAAAAGGAATGCAAACGTAGGAGCCATGCTCCCAAGTGGATTCTTTCTATGGCTGAAAGGGGTATCTCATCAAGGCTACAGGTACCACTGATCTTCTCTACACCTCAACAAAAATATACGAACTCAAGATGGAGGGATCATCCCATGAAGGTTAACATCATGATCTCATCAAAAGTGAAAAGAGGAAAGAAAAAATCAGTACCACAGAGCAATGTTCACTGGAGCATCTCTGTTTTTACCTCTGGATGGACTTCTCTAAGAAGTCTTTCTTCCTCAAACTTCTCGGCTGAAAACAAATAACTACAAGTGTGCTTAAAGGAAGAAAAGTCATAATCACTTAATCCTCTCTCTTTAGACTTGTTCTCTTGCCCACGGATAATCAGTCTTTTGACACACAACTTGTGCTGTTTGCTTCCCAAAGTGGCACTGAATGCTTGGGTGATTCACAATTCTTTTACCACACTGAGCATACATCTTATATACCTTCTGGGGTGATATTTGCACTTAAAAACTTCTGACAAGAGGTTTTTGCTTACCTAAAGGTATTCTGCTCTCTGTTGTCACTGGACAAGTGGATAGGAATGGGCACAGTGCACTTGTCATCTTGCTGAGACCAGAGTAGGCAGGTATCGCCTTTAGAGCACACTCTCAAAGGGCTCCCATCAACATCCGAGCAAATAGCAGGAGCAGGCCACATATGCAAAGCCTCTCTGCTCTTCTGATCTCTGTTCCCCCACTAGATTTATACATGCAAGAGACAAGGCCCTGGAAACTTGAACCAAGGCCAATTTTAAACAAGAAATAAACATGGAAACAGACTATTCATTTATCACAGTTATATCCCACCTGTCTTCCTCTTGTGAGGAACCCAAAGCAGCTTCCATGGTCCTCCTCCTCTCCATTTATCATCTCAATTTGAGGTAGGTTAGGCTGAGAGCCAATGCCTGGCCCAAAGTCACCCAGGGAGCTCCATGGCCAAGTGGGAACTAAAACCTGAAACTCCCAAGCCATAGTCAAACACTTTAAGCACTACATGGTCATTTCTAGTTGGGTCACTGCCTTATTAGTCAAAGGACACTCCATGTTTGCTCAGTAAAAGGTCAGTTTCTTTCAGGAATGTTTTTGTTAGAGAAGCATGAGATGCCTGCTCATTATTCTGCAAAACTAGGAAGAACCACATGTTTTACCTCTTTGGCAGAGCAGCTGCCGCCGCAAATGGAACTGGGATCACTCCAAGCATAGCAGTGAGGAGGCATCTGTCTTGAGTAATCACTGAAGCTGGCCCTCTCAAACAACTCCTCTATGTTTGGCCAAGACTCCCTTCTCCTCTGGGGAAGAAGGCTCCTTGTATGTTCATCAGCCATGAAGTACCCTGCATCTGCTCCAGTCTGGGCATTTTTGACAAAGTGCTGTAATCTTGATAGGACTTTTTGTTGTTTGAGCATGCTATACATTTCATCTCTCTGCCCATTACATTTAGAGAAATCAACATGAGTGCTTGAATTAGCATAATCACTCAGATGAACTGGGAATTCCCTGGGCCAAATTCCATTACAGACAGAACCCATGAGGCAACTCAGGGCCAAACTAAAAATTCAGTTTTTATGCTCATCCTGCTGGTGGTGGTAGTGGTGGAATTTCGGAAAAAAAGAAAAGCACCAGGAGGATGGAGACTTGAAAAAATAGAAAAAGAATCCTCCCAGAACGCTGTGATCCCAGTCCAAATCAGGGCTGTAGGCACTTACAGGATAACAGAGATAGTGAGCACACACAGTTCTATTAGTGAGAATAAGCTAGTATTCTCTCAGCCTCAGGGCCCAACCAGACATGCCACTAAATGGGTTATCGGCAGGTCTGGATTGCTTCTCTGTGTTTAAATACTAGCAGACCTGGATGAGGGAATTCCCTTTGAGACCAAAATATGTGAAGATGAAAATCACTCCAGGAGGTTTCTTTGCAGGGTCAGAACTGCATAGCAGGATGGCAATTTCCGTCTAGATCCGTCCAGGAGATCAGTCCAGGCTTCATCCCCCACTCTCTGTGCACTGCAGTCCTAGGTAAATTTGTGGGGAGCCTTGTCCCTGAAATTAATTTTGTAACAGTACAATCCTATGTTTTACTCAGAAGTAAGCCCCATTGAGTTTAATGAGCCTTACAGGATTGCAACCTGAAAAACATAAATGTGGTTACAAATAACATGTTAAGTGCCTATTTTAAGGGTAATAACGCATGAAGCACACTGAGTGTTTCGGGAAAAAGTGTCATACAAATGCTAAGATATATAAGACAGCCAGTGAGGTGCTATGGTGAGGTGCTATGGTTAGAGCTGTACTGGAACACTGGAGACCTGGCCATGAAGCTTGCTGGCTGACTTTGGGCTCAATCTAATTTACTCCACTGGGTTGCAGCTGTAAGGATAAAATGGAGAGGCAAAGCTGGTTTATGAAAGCATCCTTGGGTTCATTGCAGGAGCAAATGTGGCATATAAAAGAGAGGCAGTGTGGTATAGTGGTTAAGTGTGTGGGACTGGCACTCAGAAGACCTGAGTTCTAGTTCCTGCTCAGCCATGGAACCAACTTTGGGTCAGTCACAGATGCTCAGCCCAACCTACCACAGGGTGGTTGTTGTGGGGATATGACTGAGAGCAGGAAGAGGACAACTGTCTAAGTCACTTGGCTTTCTTTAAAAAAAAAAAAAAAAAGCAGGGTATAAATCTAATAAATAAATAAATGGTCTCCGCTGTTGACTCTTCTAAGGGAAAGAGATGTAAAAGTATGGTTATGTGGATAGATACAAAATCTGCAAGTTTTCACACAAGGGTGGAACTCCTAAAAGTTTCACTCAGTAGAATTACTAGCCATATTGAATATGTGTTTTAAAAAGGGAAAGGATTTGAACTTTCACAAGAATCATTGTAATTCTGGAAGGGGAAATTTCCTGACAAGAATTCTTGAATGTATTTTCAATATGTATCCTATCGTCCCATTGATGGTGTGCACAGTATTTTTAGGATTTATTTTAACTGTATGCTTAATGCTATATGTTATTATTTTAATTGTAAGTTTTTAAAGCTGTATTTATAATGTAAAACTAATGTTAAAACATTAAAAAAGATCATTGCCAGTAATTAATACCCTCCTGAAAAGAGGTCTGCCCTCACTGATATTTTTCCCACTGTGCCACAGCCTTTATACAGAAGGGAAAGATTCTGTTTGCAATCACATCTATGTCTGCTGAATGAAACCTTTAAAATAAATTGCTTGATGCAGAATGCCTCTCCCTCCTGTAGGGTTTCAGGATTCACTTATGCTACAGCCTTCTTCCAGGAAAAAGTTCTGTTCATGGTGAGATGCTTAAATACAGCTTGTAAACATATTTTTTCAACACAATAGATTCCATCAACTTCAACCACACACATCTATACATACATGGCTACATACAATTTACAGAACAACCCATTTCAGAATCACTTGCAGTTCCTATCAAATGCTAATGCACACATTGGCAGAAACATTTCTATCATTAAAACATTTCACAATTCAGCTTTAATTAATTAAAAGTATGTGGAATAAACATATTAGCTGAAGAAAGTTCACAGACAAGGACACAAGGCCAATAGCCTCAGAGTGGAGAATCAGTATCTTATAGTATTTTCCCAAGAGAACTTAAAAAAAGCCATTGTTGTAGCTATGTGAAAGAGAGAAGGCTTTGCAGATCAAGTTACCAGCCTGATCTGATGTTTTTAATAGACAATAAATCTGGCTGCAGCCATTGCTAAGTCTCAGGCACAATCGTTAAAGCCAGAGAATTTTTAAAGAAAAAACCTGCACAAGGACTTATAAATATTTATTACCATTCCACAAATCTTTTAAAGCAGACATATAACTAGTTGACACTTAATTACCAAGCACTGTTTCAGTGTTTCTTCATATCATGCTGGATTATACTTAGATTAAAATGATCTGCATTGCCTTACCTGGTACATTCCGACTCCAATGTGTTTAGGCTCAATTTTCACTAGCTCAGCTAATGGGTCCTGTACACGTCTAGCTATGGAAACTGAGGGGGGAAACAAAGCAAAAAAAATGGTGTTCTGTGAAATGCAGGATTAAGCAAGGCCTTTTCATGGTGTTTTGTCTAGTGTTCTGAATGTTCATTCTGTTCTTTGCTGCATGAAATAGAATGCCATGGTATAAGCAAAAGTAACATTTCAAATGAGAAAATGCAATGCATTGCAAAGATGTCCCACATTCTTATAATGCATCTTTACAAAATTAACCTTGTCGTTGCCAGTTCTGCAACATTAATGTTGTACTAAAATAGCAGCAGTAGTTACACCAATAATGACGACGAATGGCAACAGATTAAGATGGCAAAATGCTGCAATACTCGGATATCAGTTTGTTCCCATGGCTAACATTTGGAGCTAATGCAATATAATTAGAATGCTTATTATTCTATAAACAGCTGAAGTTTTACTTCTCTATTTTATATATAGAAGCAAATGCATTTAGAAATTCTCTCCTATCATTCTAGTCCCTATGCACTATTCAGGTGAACTTACAGCAATATAAAAGCACAATGTCACAAAATATAATCAAAATATAACAAAGGCAGAAACCACAAGGTAAACATACGCTTTGCACAAACAGAGCACTGAATTGTAGAAAATGGCCTCACAATACAAAACCACAGCAATTAGAACATAAAAAGCTGTTTTCTATTGTGCTGCTTTAATCTGGTCTCAGAGCAATCTTTTGGCCCCTACATGCATCAGGAGGGTCACAGGATGAGCAGGTTGCATTCACACCCATGGGATTTGTGCTTATACAGAGTCTATTGTTGGAAAGCTTCTATAGTTAAACGTTCGTGTGGGTGGGAGCCCCACTACTTCCTGTTCCCAGGAAATGCAGGGAAAGTTTCCCACCCACCCCCTCAGCTCCTAGGGAGACCACCATGGATCTCTGGACTGCAGGTTGGAAAAAGGTTGAAACCTGGTCTGGTCCCAAGTATCCATGAAGAGTAAGAAAGAAATAGCTAGAGGGGAGACAGCAAGTGGGGCAGCGAGGTGGGTTGTGCAAACACTCGAAGAAGAACAGTTACAGGTAAGCAACCTGCCTTTCTTCTTATGGTCTCTGCATATCACACATACGGATGACTGGCAAGCTTAGCAAAGGGTGAAGGGGTGATGTTGTCACTGGAGAATAGAGGGGAGGACTGCAGAATCCAATCGGTAGTCTCAGGCAAATGCTGAGGGTGTAAACCATGCGGCAGCTCTGCAAATGTCCTGCAGGGAGATCCCACTGAGGATAGATGTGGATATGGCTGGCTAGCACTTGTGTGGAGTGGGCCCTTGGTTGCGTAGTGAAGCCCTGCCATTTCATATGCAAGATAGATGGTGCTTGAGACCCAACTGGACAGTCTCTGGACAGTGGGTCTCCGTCTTTTTTGACCACCATAGCAAACAAACAGCTGGGGCGAAGTGCAGAATGGCTCGGTTTTGAATTTGTAGAAGGTGAGGGCCCTCCTGACATTGAGCAGCTTCATGGTAGATTCAACTGGAGTGGATGGAGCTATGAAGAAGGAAGGGAGGACAATGTCTTGGTTGGGGTAGAATGGCGAGATTACCTTGGGCAGGAAGGCTGGGTCAGGACAGAGGATGACCTTGTCCCTATGGGGGCAGGCCCACTCTGAGGGTGCAGAGCTTGCTGGCATGACGGACCAATGCAATGGCCACCTGGAAGGCCACTTTCCAGGACAGGAGGCCTAACTATGTTGTGGCCAGGGGTTTGAAGGATCTTTTGGTGAGGGCGTGCAGTACCACCAATAAGCTCCATGCTAGAGTGCAGGGTCAAGCAGGTGGAGCACGGCTGTGAAGTCCTCTCAGGAATCTGCACTTCAGGAGGTGTGCAAAGACTGACACTCCTGCAATTGCTGGGTGGAAGAAGGAAATAGCTGCCAAGTATACTCTAATGGAGGAGAAGCTCAGGCCATTCCAGAAACAGGTCCACAGGAAGTGCAGGATCTGTTGGACAGTGCCCCCCCCCTTGGGTCTAATTCTTCCTGACCCATGAAGGATAAGAAGTTGTCCCACTTAGGACTTTCTTGTGGGTGGTTTCAGGGCTGCATCCAGTATATCTGACACCTCTGGCAGTAGGGGCGCTCCCCCTCTGCCAGCTCAAGGAGGTGATCCTCCAGGCTGTGAGGTGCAGGGTCCCAATGCTCAGGTGAAGATTCTGGTCCCAGTCCTGTGAGGGGAGCACAGGCGGCAGAATAATCCCATCCTTTCTTGAAAGAGTCTGTCACTTGCAGGGCTTTCTTCCAGAGTTCAGCCTTGAGCCAGTCGGACTGGTGTTTCCAGGTTTGCTTCATGAAAGCCTGGCAGTGGACACAGGTCTTCACATGGTGTGCCTTGTCCAAGCACAAGAGGCACAGAGAGTAACCGTTGGACACTTGCTGTTGCTTGTGGTGCATCTGCAGAAAGCCACCAAAGATGCCATCACAGAAGGTGGGGGGGAAAGTGGAAAAAAGGATGGGGGAAAAAGTAGAGAGGCACAGGGAACTTGGGGAGGGGTGTGAGGAAGAGTGGATAGGAAAGCAGGCCGGATAATTTTTTTTGTAGGTTTTTGTGGGGGTAGAGTGAAAACAGGGTTCTTGAAGAGAGAAATAGAGAGCAGGTTGCAGTAGGTAAAGGCGAGGAAAAACACAAGAAAGAACATTAGGTACCTAGGTGGAAGAGAAACAATTCCTGATCTAGGAGTGATGGCAGTTGAAAAGGAACTAAGAGGATAGGAGGGTGTTTCTCCCCATGCTTCCTGAGAACAGGAAGGGGAGGGGCTCCCACCCACATGAAGCTTCTGGACAACAGGCTCTGCACAGGCACAACACCTGTATGTGTGATGCACAGACACCATGAAGAATTTACTGATTCCCAGGAAAACTCCAGCCTAAGATCTAGAGAGCTGTGCTCTGATCCCATGCATCCTATGTCAGCCAGTGCATAAAGAACTGCTCCAGCTGCTTTCCAATGTCATAACAGCAGCCTTGGAGAAGGGGTTTAGGGGCATTCTGGGGCCTGGGGAAGTGGGGAGGCCAGTGCTGCGAAGAAGTGACATATCCTTCAGGTGCTTCAGCCTTTTTCCCTCCAAAAGGAGTGCAGAAATGACCCTCTCTTCTGTGCTCCTCCTGCACTGCATAGAATACCCATAATCCCCTCAGTCTGGAAGGTTATGGGCAGCCCCAGTGGATGGTACCCAAATTGAATGTTATTTACAGCTGCTCTGTTCTGTGAAAGTATCCAGTGTTATAAAGGTTGAAATATTCTACCAGACTGTCTTAAGAGAGACAGTATGTGCAAATGTTTTCAGTATAGAATATAAAAATATTCGTTAAGTTACTCATTACATGTCTATACTACCGAATTGCCAAAGCATTCTGAGTGGTTTAACAAAGATTAAACACCTTAAAATACAAGAGTGTTCATAATATAAAATCATTTAAATGCAAACAAACAACAGATAATACACACACACAATTTTAACAGTCATCAATAAGAAATCACAAGACACTACTAAAACTTTATCATATATTGGATTTCTTGGAATACGGGATGGTTTTAAGCTGGCCTACTTTACTGAGGCTGCCACCCATGATCAGGGAGCGCCTCTGAGAAGGCCTCCTTCCATGTTACATCTTCTGAGCCTTCCTCAAAGAAGGCTCACCAGATGATGAGCACAGCAGGTGGGTAGATTCATGCTGGGCCAGGCACCCCATCAGATAGTGAGCTCCTGAGCTGTGTAAGGCTTTATAGGTCAAGAACAGCACCTTAAATCAAGCTCATAGCTGTACAGGCAGCCAGTGGAACTGAGCCAAATTCAGTGCTATACATTCTGTGTTGACTTACAGATGATTCCCTGTATGCTCTGTGGATCCACTGAACTAAGAAATTAACTATCTGTTACACTGTTTATATACATGTCCCATTTATTTATTCATTTAATATCTTGCCCTTTTTCCCTGCTCACACGAATCTCTCTCTCTCATGCACACACACAATTCTTCACACTATTTCTTCAACTATCAAATGGCACTACCTTGACATGAGTGTAAATTGTTTACATGCCCTGTGCTCTGGGGATCGGTTACAGCAAGGCTACGAGAACTATAAGCTCCTGCAGGCCTTCCCTGCTGGGATTTAGCTCCCATTTGTAAGTATGGAAGGGGCTATCTAGGGTAAGGACACTTCTCCCCAAAATCTGACCCACTTCTGTCCATTGGACTTCTCATGCTTAGCCCTTGCGTAGGAAGTGAGCCCTTGCTTAGGAAGTCCAAAAATGCGCGCAAAACTCTGGCTGTGCAGCTGGCAACCTTCTTCCATAGTACATGCAACACAAACAACGGCTGCACATCACAAGCAAGGAAGACAAATGCCACTTGTGCAGCATTTGTGTGGGCTTGCTTCCTGGTGTTCACCCACATGATTTCTCGGTACAATTGCCAGGAAGCTAGACTCATGGCCACGAGAAAGCAGGCTGGAGTCCAAGGAACTGAGCCCAGGGAGTCAAAATGGATTCTGTACACATTTCTAGAGTTACCCTTCTAAGATGTAGCTCACTGTGCCCTTGTTTTGACTTCAACTGATGACTGATGAGTCTACATGAGTGCTAAATGGTTTCCTGAAGTAATTAATTAGGCAAGCAAATAGCATTTATCTTTGCTTTGCACAGGTGCTTAACTTTATGAGATACTTTCTCACAGAGGCTCCCCATCCATGGAGATTATAATGGGACATATGGGAGTCAGTCAATAAAGGTAAATGTTTGGGAAGGGGATATAACTCAGTAGTTGAAAAGCTGCTTAAAATACAATCTTCAGCAACTTCCAGTAGAAGGCTCAGACAGAAAGTAATGTTTCCTGTCTGAGGCCTCACAGAGCCACTGTTTGTCGTATTAGATAATGCTGGATTCCACTGCTGTTCACCTGGCATCCTCAGGCAGCTGCTGGGGTTCCAATACCCTGTCAGGGTCCAGCACCAATGACTTATCGGTGGGGAGGCTTTA